CAGAGGCCGACATGGATAGTGGGCCAGCCTCCTTAGTCCCCTCGATGTCTGCTAGCTGAACCAGAGCAACACCGGGAGGCGGAACATTGTCAAACGTGTCCACTGTGTTGCTTCGTGTCAGCTGGGACTCGGGGACAGTTGAGGTGTGGGCAACAAGAGTCTCATTCGTGATGTCCCGTCGTAGACCGCAGGTGACTGTGCTGCGAGAGCCGAAATTTGATTCTCTGCAAACTAGCATAGCATAGGCTGAATTATGTCCTCGTTTGTTGAGGAGCTCGTTACTGTTGCTGACAGTCACATTATTGGTGGATGCGCTGCTGGTTCGCGCAGGTGACGGAAGCATCATACCAAGCCTTTTTATTGGTTGGCGTTTTGAGAGAGGGTGGGTCGTGTTCTTGAGTGCAGCCGCTTTCGAGGAGGGCTGATTACGCACAAGGAGTAGGGACCGGAGCGTCTGCTGGGGTTCCTGATGCAGCCTACGCAGACGCTTCATTTGAAGTCCGGTGAGTACAAGGCAGGCAATAAGGGGCAGGGCATAGGCAATGGTTGTACGCATAATCAAAAAGTTTGGATCCGAGATGACACAGGCAGCCTCGAACTGGTCGGCAAACTGTGTGGACAGCGGGTGTTGACAGTCGCCGAAGAATTTGGCCTTGTCTCTATCACTGACAGCTAGCTGACCAATAGCTTGAAGACCAGCAGCTACCCAGGGCGAGCCGATTTTAAGCCAGGTGGTGGGTCGTCGTCTGGAGGAAACCAAGTAGGTGCTGGGACCACAGAGGCGCAGATAGGAGTCCAGACCGGAACAGAAGGCGTGAAGCAAAGCGAGGTTGCAGAAGAGGGTGTCCAGGTAGGTTGAAAACAGGCAAAATATGCGCAAATAGGAATCCATGGGCGTAGAGCCTGAATGGGAGGATTGGAGAGAGAGCAGAAGACAAAAAGCTTTATTAGAAAAGGATATAATGATGGAAGTAAGTACTGTAAGTACAGAAAACGCATATGCAATCAATGGAACAGAACTTTATTTGAATCACGTTGGG